AGTCTCACGACCTGTCTCCCTCTACCTGGGCACCCCCATACTCATAGCCCACCTGGCCAGTGGCCATAGCTCCAGCCGCCCCCTTAGTTCAAGGCCAGGCCATGCAGATGGGCTCCAGGTGCCCAGGGGGACTCTTTCATCCTGTGGGCCCAGCTCCAAGACCAAAGGCCCCAGTCTTCACAAGGAGGAAGCCCCTGGCTGGATGACTCTTCCAGGGGTCCTAAAATACCTCTGGACCCACCTATACCAGTCCCGCCCTGAGGAAGAACTGACTGATTTGGCCTAGACCCAAAGGCCTGGGGACAAGGCCCAAGGACTGTGTAATAGGGGAAAAGGTTTACAGAAATAGCAGAAAGTGTCTCTGTCTCCTTTGGTCAACATCTCCACAGAGTATCTGTATGGGGGGGGGGGGGCGTCTCCAAGCAAATAAAAGTATATCCCCTCTGCTGGGATGAATCAGCTCCCTGAACCAAAGGGTTTGTGAGCTGGAACTGTTTGCACTTGGATCCCATCTCCTGCTACTTTACAGCTGTGCACTCTCAAGCAAACCACTTAACCTCTCTCAGCCTCTTTCTCTTCTACGAAATGCACCCCACAGTTAGTGCCCCCTGTGGTCCAGTGCCACCAGGATCTCTGACTGACTGCTGACCTGAGGCTTGAACACAGAAAGCTGGGTTCCACTCCTAACCTCAGAGCCACATTTCCTGCCACTGCCCAAAGGGCAAGACGGGGAGTTGTGTCAGGCAGAAGGGACGGATTGCATAAGATTCACCATCCCTGCCCCCACTGGAAACCCACAGACCTTTTTAGGATTAGAGGCACAGGCAGATCTTCAGAGGAGCACAAATACATTTCCCCCATTCCCACAGCACAGAAGGAGTCAGCACAGCCAGCAGAACCCAGATTGGCAACCCTAAGGCCCCTTCCAACCCGTCTGGGCAGCAGCAGTCAGAGACCCCCTTGCCAGGGCAGACTTGGGAAGATTTTATGTGTATGTTTTAATTGCTCCAGGCTCACGGGGCTGTTGAGTGATTCTGCTAGTCCTGCAGTTGCTGGCGGGTACACACAGCCTGCCTGCCTGGCACCGCCTTTGTTACTGCTTGGGAGCACTCAGCCATTCTGGGCTCCCCCCTCCCCCAACTCCCAGAAGCAGCAGGCTCTGGGCCTTCCGCCCTCCCTCCCTGAAGCCACTTGTACCTGCTCCAGAGCGTGGAGGGGTGACAAGTGCTTCCCAGACAATGAGAGGCTCCCGGGAGAACAGACATACTCAAAGGCTCCTGCTGCACCCTTGTTTTGTGCACTGAATTCAGGCTGGGGTTCAGGGCTCCTACTGCTGGGTATGCACTCCAGCAGGCTGCCTTTGGGGCTGATTATTGGCAAAAAGGCCCTGCCTGCCCATCCTTCATTCCAGGAGGTCAGTCACCCCCCGCCCCCCATACACACTTTCCCTTAGTACTGTGGGAGGAAACTGAGGCCCAGGGTAGAGGACCTGTCTGGGGCAAGGTCACCCCACCCTGGGTCTCCTGGGTGTGTTTCAGGCAATGACATCAATGTTCTTGGGGTCCAATGCTGCATGACCTTGGGCAAGCTATTTAACCTCTCAGCCAATGATACTGTCCTGTCTGCGTTGTCCGGAGGCTGGATGGAAATTATATGCATCAAGCACCTAGTACTTTGCCCGGTACCTGATCAACACCTGACCCATTACTATCATTACTCCATCCTTTTCATTCTCCCCTCCCTCCATTCCAGCCACCCCTCACCCTCCCCGCTTCAGGGCCCCGTCAAACGCCAGGCACAGGCTTGTTCCCAGGCTTCTCCTGAGGGACCCTCCCTAGCCGCCTAATAGACGCTCTTCTCTTCCCCGGCTTTTGTCCTAGCCTTCACACTCTCTGACACCCCGGGCGGTCTACTGGTTCACCCCTAGGGCCTCTCTCGCCCTGGAACGTAAGCCCCTTGAGGGCAGGGCTTCTGCGGCACTGTACGCCCTCCAGCCCCTCACCCCCGTGTGCGAGCGCTGGAGTGCGTGAAGGAGTCCCATCTAGGGAGCCTGGCCCCGGGGCCGACCTGCCCTGGGGGCAGCCAGCCCGACCCGGGGCTGGAGAAGGAGGGCGCGGGGTGTGGGGGACCGCCGGCCGTGGCTGGCGACTGGACGCGGGCTCCAGGGGGGCGGCGCCGGGGACAAAGGGTGGCCCTACCTGTGCGGGGGGCGCGGGCACCTCCCCCAAGGTGGCTCCGGCGCGCGCCCGCGAGGTCATGTCCCGGGCGCGCCAGCCGGAAGGAGGCCCCGCGCGGGACGGGGGGCGGGGCGTCATCGGGTAGGGTACGCCCCCAGGGCGAGGGGCAGCGGCGGGGGGGCGGGGCCACTGGGCTGGGGCCGCCTCGCACTTCCGCTCGCCGGGGTCGATTATTCATATTCATAAGGCGGATGAGGGGCGGGGCCTGGATCCCCGCGACGCCCCGCCCCCGGGCCGCGGATCCCTCCCCAGCGGAGGCTCCGGCCCCAGTGGGGCGCCCCCGGCTTCCGCCTCCGGGAGGGAGTTTCCACTTGGTCACAACTCAAAAATGTGTCGCTCCCGCTCCTCCGCCCCCTCGTTTCTGCTCTGGGCGGGGGGTCTCCTCCCTCGGAAGGCAAGGGGGCGGGGCCAGGAGAGGGGCGGCTCCTCCTTCCTGTGACAGGTCCATTGGGATGCACAGACCCTTCCCTTTCTACCTTCCTCCAATTTAGCGGGGGTAATAACACTCATTTTAATTTAATTTAATTTATTTATTTGACAGAGAGAGACGGGGAGAGAGGGAACACAGGCAAGGGGAGTGGGAGAGTTTCCCCCCGCCCCAGCAGGGAGCCCGGGATCATGACCTGAGCCCAAGGCAGACGCTTAACGGCTTAGCCAGCCAGGCACCCCAATAATACTCCTTTTTAAAACAAAATAATAGTTCTATTTTATTGACCGCTTATTCTGTGCCAGGCACTGTGCCTTTTATACCAACTACCTCTTTCAATCCTCTCAACGGTCCCACTGAAGTTAAGTACAACATTTATCAGGCCCAGAAGCTCAGGAAAGTTGAGTGACGGACGTACCCATTATCACACTGCTGGCCTTGCGCTTTTTCAGAAAGGTTGGTACCAATGGGTTGGGGGAGGGGGTCAGGAGCTGTGCCCCCCCCCCCCACTGCCTTTTAGGAAACAGACTTACCTAAGGCCCTCCTAGCTGGCTGGGAGTGGCTGAGGATGTATCAGAATGTCCCATTTGAGGGAAAGCTACCACTGGGGGAAAGCAAAGCATGAAGGCAGGACAGGCTACACAATTTGCCCCACCCAGTGCAAAAAGAAAATGTAGGCCCTGTGTTCCAAAATGATTAAGAATTTCAAGAAGGTGGGGCGCCTGGGTGGCTCAGTGGGTTAAAGCCTCTGCCTTCGGCTCATATCATGGTCTTAGGGTCCTGGGATCAAGCCCCGCATCAGGCTCTCTGCTCGGCAGGGACCCTGCTTCCCCCTCCCCCCTCTCTCTCTCTGCCTGCCTCTCTGCCTGCTTGTGCTCTCTCCCTCTGTCAAATAAATAAGTAAAATCTATTTAAAAAAAAAAAAAGAATTTCAAGAAGGTGATGACAACATTCAGCCAAGCCTAGGCCCTGCTTAAGTACCAGGCTTCTGTGACTGTACAGGTGAACGTGCATGAAGCCACCTGATGAAGGGGCTCAGGGGCTCTTCTAGGACCTGAGAAACCAACGGGGACATCCCCACTTCCAATGTCACCTCACCCCCCAACCCGCCCCACCCTGGGAGCCTCACCTCCATGCTGACATCCAGGGCTCAGACTCCAGAGTTACAAAAGCTGAGCATTTCAGGTTCTCTAGCACTGGATTCCTGGGGGGTCGGGTGAGTCCTGTGGGGAGAGCATGTCCTGAACCTGAATGACTCAGCTGGCCCTTGGATATTCTCAGCGCCGGCCACGTGGACAGGTAGGCTGGCTCTCACTTGCCAGGCCCAGCACAGGACTCGGTTCTGACTCGATGCCCTCCTTCCCCGCTGGAGCAGGGAGTGAGGGAGCAGCCAGGGCTGCTTCCCAGAATAAACACCCCACCCAGAGTCAGCCCCAGCACTACAGGCACAGCAAGCCAGAGCCAACGGGAGAGAGCTCACCAGGCCCCAGCTCAAGGTTAATAAGTCACCCTGATCTCACTCCCTCTGTCACTCCATCCTTGTTCCTGGGCCCCCACTCACAGTGGGTTGCAGGTTTCCTTAATAACAATAGCTACTATTTGTTGCATTCTTTTGAAGCCCTCCTGTGCTCTCTGCACTGAGGCTCACACAAACCCATAATAAACCTGATGATCGCCATTTCACAGATAGGGACACTAAGGCATGTAGAGATCCCATGGCTTGGCTAAGGTCAAGGGCTGGAGTTTGGGGATTGCTGCCATTCCTCCATCCCGGTTCCCGTTGTCTCTCCTACATCTGCGTTGTAGGTCATGGGGCTCAGTTCATGCTGTCTTGTATTATTTACTCTCAGCGCCTTGGATAGATTAAGGCTCTGGAAAGACAGTAACTGTGCTTATACCACTGAGTTTCTCTGGACCCAGCCTTGTGCATTAATTGACGAGTCATTTACTAAGCATCTATATTGTGCAGGACACCCTCCTTGCAGTGTGCCTGTGTGTGAATGAGGGACTTGTGCCCCCTCTGGGTGATAACAGGGGAGGGGTCCCCACCAGACCAAGAGATTTCCTTGAAGACACGGATGGCAGTGCCTAGCCCAGTGCACACAGTAGACCCTCAGTAAATGTTGATGAATAAACACACAATAAAAGCTTAATAAATATCTGTTGAATGAATGGGAACCTAGGAGATGCTTAATAAGTGTTTATTGCTGGGGCACCTGGGTGGCTCTGTCAGTTAAGCATCTGCCTTCAGCTGATGTCAAGATCGCAGGGTACTGGGATCAAGCCCCACATCAGGCTCCCTGCTCAGTGGGGAGTCTGCTTCTTTCTCTCCCTCTGTAGCTCCCCCTGCTTGTGCTCTCTCTCTGTCAAATAAATAAATAAAATCTTAAAAAATAAAGAACGTAAAATCTATATAAATAAATAAATAAATATATGTCTATTGTTGAAGGTTTAGGAGAACCAGATTGAGCCCGCCAAATATATCTGTCAGCAATTATCTTAGCTTGGGCTGCTATTAACAAAATAGCACAGACTGGGTAGCTTAAACAACACACATTAATTCTTACAGTTCTGGAGGCTGAAGTCCGAGTTCGAAGCGCTGGCCGATTCCGTTCCCAGTGAGGACTCTCTTCCTTGCTCGCAGATGGCTGCCTTCTTGCGATGTTCTCACATGGCTGGAGGCAGGGAAGCTCTGAGCTCTTTCTCTTCTTACAAGGGCACTGATGCCATCATGGAGACCCCACTGTCATGACCTCATTTAAGCCCAATTAGCTACCAAAGGGCCCATATACAAATAGTATAACATTGGGAAGGGGTGGTTAGGGCTTCAACATATGACTATGGGGGGACAAACATTCATAACAGATATATTTATGCAGCGATATTTATGAAATATTTACTATGTGACAGGCCCTGGGCAGGACTGGGCAGGACCCTGGAGGGGGTGTGACAAAATGTCTTGTGTCCTACTCTTTGGGGAACTTGGGAACTTACAGTCTTGTAGGGGAGACCTTCCATAACACAAGGTGGGGGAGCAGGTATCAAAGTGTGGGAGCTCAGAGTAAGGACTCGTAGAGGGAGGAAACCCAGGGTAATGGGAGGAAGGAAGACATCCCTCCTTACCCACCTTTCGCTAAGAAGGAGGAAGCCAAGCCTGGCCTGCCTGCTATGCTGCCTCCCAGAAATGCACAACGCAAAAAAAAAAAAAAACAACCCTTTGGAGCCTGGCGCTCTCAGATGTCCTGAACCCCCACCCCAGTGGGTTATAACACAAGCTTTGGAATCAGATCAACTGAGACTGCAATCTGGCTTACGCCTCTCACTAGTTTCTAAGATCTTGGCCAAGTTACTTCTCTGTGCCTCAGTTTCCTTCTCTGTAAAATAGGAATAATAATAGGACTCACCCTCAGGGTTATTGTGAATATAATACAAGTACAGCATCCGGGGGTGCCTGGCTGACTCAGCTGGTGGAGTATGTATGTGACTCTTGATCTCCAGGTGGTGAGTTCAAGCCCCATCATGGGCATGGAGCCTACTTAAAAAAACAAAAACAAAAACAAAAACAAAAACAAAAACAAAAACAACAAATTCTGGTATAAAGAACTGGTCTGGCTGAGAATTGTGGGTTTCTGGTTGGGTCAACTCCAGCAAGATTATATAGTTCCTCACTCTTGCTAGATTTGCAAAAGCCAAATTTAGGGGTTTATCTGCAGCTAAGGGAGTCCATCTGGGTCCTGGAATTGTGGACACCAGGTAGTGATGGCTAGTATGTGTTAAGAATGCACTTCATTTGGGGTACCTGGGTAGCTCAGTCCCTTAAGCATCTGACTTCAGTTCAGGTCTGGATCTCCAGATCCGGGATCAAGCCCCCTCCTCCCCCTCAGGTAGGGTTTCCTGCTCAGCAGCACACACACACCCCCCAGGGTACCCTGCTCAGTGGGGAGTCTGCTTTTCCCTCTCCCTGTGCCTTACCCTCTGCTCCTCCTGCTTGTGCTCTCTGTCTCTCTCAAATAAATAAATAAAATATTTTTTAAAAAGAATGTATCTCATTTCATCTTCACAACAGCCTTAGAAAGGAGATACTAGTCATCATCCCAAGGTGGGAATCCCAACACAGAGTTCTCACCTGGGAGCAACCTGCTGGTCCTTGAAAACAAGTGTGTGAAGAAAAACAATGAGAAAGGCCCTCCAACTGTAAAGGTTTCTTTCTCCCCCCCCCCTTTTTTTTTTTAAGATTTTATTTATTCATTTGACACAGAGAGATCACAAGTAGGCAAAGAAGCAGGCAGAAAGAGAGGGGAAAGCAGGCTCCCTGCTGAGCAGAGAGCCCGATTGGGGGCTCTATCCCAGGACCCTGAGATCATGATCCGAAGGCAGAGGCTTAACCACTGAGCCACGGAGGCAGCCCTGTAAAGGTTTCTTACGGTCCAGTGTCCCTCACGGCACGGAGGTCGTTGGATTTCCCCGGTTACTGATTTCAGGTCCGACTGGACTGTTTGTAAGACCCACAAGGGCGGAGCGCCTGGGTGGCTCAGCGGGTTAGGGCCTCTGCCTTTGGCTCGGGTCATGATCTCGGGGTCCTGGGATCGAGCCCCGCATCGGGCTCTCTGCTCCGCGGGGAGTCTGCTTCCTCCTCTCTCTGCCTGCCTCTCTGCCTACTTGTGATTTCTATCTGTCAAATAAATAAATAAATAAAATTAAAAAAAAAAAAAGACCCACAAGGGCGAGGGCAGCTGGGGTGGTTCGCTCTCGTCTCCACTGTCGCGCACTGCCTGGCACCCTGCGGGCACGCCATAAGCATTATTAACAGATAAAAGTAGCCCCTTGCACACCTTTTTTCAGTATACCTAGATTCCCCCAGGGCTGGAGGCGGACCTACGGAGGTTTGACTACGCTTTGCCGCCAGCCGCAGGGCCGCGCTGCAGGCTGAATCGTCGAGATTCCAGAAGCCGGGAGGGGGCGCTCTGCGGCCCTCAGCCCCTGCCCCGCCCCACACACCGCGCGGACCCGGAGAGTCGGCCCTTAGCAGCCCCCTCCTGGAAGGTGCTAGGTCCCAAAGCTGGCCTGCCCCCAGGCCCATCTGCCGGCTAATGTTTAACCTGGTCTCACTCCACATTATCCGCAGGAGAGAAGTCGGGGCGGGGTGGGGGCAGGAGAGGTCACCTCCAAATCGCTCCTTTCCAGGCCTACATGTCTTTCGTGTATCGCCCAACAAGTTCATGAGCACCTACTCTGGTGTATTCATGTAGGTCATGAGTACCTAGTATGTGGCCATTCATTCCACCATCATAAGCACCAACCATGTATCCATTTGCCCAAAATATAATAAGCATCTACTGTGCGTCCATGCAACAATTTAAGAGCAGGAATTCTGTGTCCATTTATGCAACATGTACATTGGCTTAACATGTAATGAGCACCTGTCCTGTGTCCATCGTGCAATGCCTTGAGCACCTACTATGTGCCAAGAACTGTGCCAGGAGACCCACCGGCCTCTGCTCTGCCAGGGACAGCGGCATCAAATGCACACAAGAGGACAAAGTTACACGGGGAGTCAGATGCCTCACCTACAAGATGCTTTTCCTCTCCTGGACTCAAGGCCAACCGTGAGGCTGCAGGGCTGGCCAATAGCAGGAGGACTGTTTTTGAACCAAGATTGCGACCCGACAGCAGAGCAGCGAGAAGGTAACTGGGCAGGGGCTCCAGATTGGCCCAAACACGACACACTCAAGAACGCGAGCCCGGGATAAGCTTCAGGAAAAGACAGTTTAGGCGGGTGCTGGGCTTTAGCACGCGCCGTCATCCACTCCTTCCACCTCCTAAGCTTGGGCGCCGCGCCGGGCGAGACCAAAGACCCCGGCAGAGCTCAGGCTAGGGACGCAGGTTGTCCCAGCTCCTGGGACCAAGCCTGGGGCCGAGCGGAAGCCCGGACTGCTCCCGGCCGGACCTCGTCCTAATTCCACGGGCGGGGACCAACCCGGGACCTGGAGGGAGTGTCTGATCCCGGCCTCGAACCCTGGCTTGCGCCTCCCCGAATCCGGAGCCGGGGCCTCTGCCCGCCCGGCGCTGCCCGCGCGTTCCTGGAACTGGGTTGGGCGGAGAAATCAGGGCCTGCGGAGAGGCATTCCTGCCGCCCTCCCCGCAGCCCGGGGCCGCGGGGGGCCTGGCCAAGGTGACCCCGCGGGAGGGAGGCGAGGGGCCCCCGCCCCCTCGGCCGCAGCGACCTCCTCCATCTTCCAGGTCTTCGGGGCTTTTCCTCTGGGCCCGCACGCCCTCCCTCCGGTCAACGGCGCGCCTGCCCCCTCCCCCGGCTTCCCCAAGGGCGGGACATCCCTCTCCCCCCCCCCCCCCCCCCCCCCCCCCGCGGCCCCGCCGCCCTCGCTCCCTCCCCTCCCCCGGCCCAGCGCCGACTCCCGGCCACCCCCTCCCCCCGACGCGCACGCCCCGCCTGGCAGCTGGCGCCCCGGGCCTGGGGCCGCCGCGGCGAGAGGGGTTTGCTGGGAGGGCGGGCGCGAGGGAACCAGCGGGGGAGGGAGGAGGGAGCAAGGCCGCCCCCCGCGCCCCTCCTCCTCCCCCTCCTCCTCGGCTTGCCGGGCCCTCCTCCCGCCGCCTCCCTCCTCCCGCCTCCCTCCCTCTCTAAGACATCCCCGCACGGCCCGGCCGCCGCGGCCACCTTCCCTGCCGGAGCTGCAGATGTGGCGGAGCGGCCGGGCGCCGGGCGGCCGTGCCAGGGGAGCCCGCGCCCCGTGAGCCTCGCGCCCCGGCCCCCGCCCGCCCCGGCCCCTCCCCCGCTCGCTCCCCCGCCGCCCCCCGACCGCCGGAGCCCGCAGCCGGGAGCCCGACCGCCCCCGCCGCCGAGGTAGGAAGACCCGGGGCGTCGCGCCGTGGGGACGGGACTGGGAGGGCGGCGGGGGGGGCCGGGCTGTCGCGCGGGGGCCTGCAGGGGGCTGCGGGACCCCAGGGTCGCCTCCTCCTCCCGCGTCCCCGCCTCCCCGGGCCATTGTGAGCCCTCGCCGGGGCCCCTGCGCTCGCTCCCTCGCTCGCTTGGCTCGCGCGCTCCCTCCCTCTTCGGCTCCCTGGCCCCGTCCCTCCGTCTCTCAGTCTCTCTCGTGCTTCCTTCCCTCCCTCCGTCCGGAGGCCCGGTCGACCCACGGCCGGGCCCAGGGCGGGAGCAAACTTCGGCGGGGAAGTTGGGCGGCCGCGGTGGGGGCGCGCTGCAGGGTGAGGGGGGCCCCCGGAGCCTGGGCACAAAGTTGTCTGGGGCTGCGGGGCAGTCGCCCCTTCCCAGGGCTGCGCCGGGGCTGTTTCTAGGACGGGGTTTGAAAGGTGTCTCCTCCCTTGTCCCGGAAAGTCTCCCCACTGCTGCGCCTGGCTGGCCTGGGCCCTTCCCCGGCCGGGGGAGGGAGGCGTCTCTGGGGGTCAGGACGGGGTGCAGCCGCGTTGGGCCTGAGAGCAGGAGTCCTGTCTGGCACTTGCTCCTCCTCCACTGCTGTCTGGGTGGAAGCAGAAGAAGCTGGCAAAGTGAAGAGGGCAGGGGTATCCAAAGGGCCTGAAGGAGGGTCCGGAGGGAGTGGGGGAGGAGGCGAGGCAGGCAGGTGCATCCCGAGGGAGGGAGATACCGGCACCCTGCTTCCCCGCAGGCCCCCGGGAGTGGGGCTGGAAGCCAGGCTGGCACCTGGAGGCCTTGGCACACTGCCCTGGCCTGTCGGGTACTCAGGCCACAGCAGGGCAGCATGCTGCTTGTCCGCCTGTCCAGGAAGGACCGCCTGGCCTGTCCCCCTGGGGCAGTGATGGTTGCAGGGATCCTGGCCCTGCCCTGGAGCCTGGGAAGCGGGAAGGGATCCTGGGAGGAGCCCTGGGCCCCCAGCCATCACAGCCCAGGATCTTGGCTCTGAAGGGAACGCTTGACACTGAGGGGGCAGCCAGGCCGGCCGCAGACCTGGCCAAGGCCTGGGCTCTCGTGGCTCTTGGTCTAGGCCAGGGACACGGCCTGAGCTGTGGTCTTAAGAGGTGGCCTTCCTGAGGGTCTTACGTCCTGGAGGGAAGGTGGGGCTTAGCTGAAGCTGAGGGTCAGCGGAGACACTCCGGTCCCCCAGGGCCTTCCACAGCTCCCAAGCTCAGGGAAGGGGAAACTGACCCCTTCCGTCTGCCCACCCACCCAGTCCCCTCCAAGCCCCGCTCCTGGTGCCACAGTGCCACAGCTGTTCTAGCCCGTCCCACACATCCCTCCCCACACATCCCTCCCCATGACCTCGGAGCCTTCCCCTTCTGCTCCTCCTTCTCCCCTCTGGGCCTGGGCTGGGCCTCCCAGCTGGCCCTCGCCCACTCTGGGGGAAGGGCTGCACCTGGGGAGCCCTTCCCAGGACACCCCTTTCCAAGCTCTAGCCCAGCCCATTTTACAACCCACCCCCAGGTCTACTTGGCCCTGTCCACAACCAGCCAGCCAGGAGGCAGTGCCAGGGGGTT